GCTCTGCGGCTTTCTTCCCGCCCACCCCCTCCTCCTTTGTTTCCCTGCAGCCGTGGGGAGGAGGGTATGGGGGTGGCGGGTGTTGGAGCTTTGGGTCGTTTCCTTCCCTTCCCCTCCTCCTCCTTTCGTTCCCACTGCTGCAGCTGCCGCTGGGGGGGAGGGTGTGAGGGTGTGGGGGAGAAGGGGGAGTGGCACCGGGGTGGCGGGTGTGAGGCAACCAGCAGCCGTCCCTCCACCTCTCCTCTCTTCCCCACCCTCTCTGCTGCTCCTGCAGCAGTGTGGGGGAGGGGAAGGAGGAGGGTGAGGAGATGGAGGGGGTGACCAGCTAGTGTTAGCCCGCCTGCAGTACCTGCTGTTGCTTGTTTATTATTTTGCATGTGTACCCCTGCAGGTTGTATTCTGCACAAACTCCTGATGCAGGCAGTTATGGGGGAGTGTCAGAACTTATATTTGTAACTGCCTGTAGCTGTAGTTAGTGTAGTTATTATAAACTTTGTTTGGTGGTGCACCTTATTTGTTTCCTTTGCTATATGTTCTTCGAAACCTATAGTGAAACCATCCTTTCCAACTTCCTCGACATCTCACCCTAGGCACAAACTACTCGACATCCTAGTTGGGCCTAGGCTCCTAAGCCTAGGCCCTAGTTAAACTTGATCTCCTTCCTACGATTCTGTCACGGATTGCCCAGTACTGATTCACGGAAAAATACAGGGAGCAGCAGTGAAGATTTTTATCGACGGAGGCGCAAGTCACAGCTTAGTTAATACCGCGACCGCACAAAAACTACAACTGACACTGAGTCGGTGTTTACCGGAGATAGACGCACGCTTAGTTGACGGCACACCACTGGCCATACAGGAAAAAGTGGAGAGAGTAAAGGTCCGCTGCGGGGGGAACTTCGGTTTTACACAGGAAATGCTCGCGACGACACTGGATGGGCACGACATTTTACTGGGACGTGATTGGTTGCGACGGTATAACCCGCGAATTGACTGGACGACGGGTAGCTGCACTGTGCGAAGTAGCGGTAACTGGGTGTCGCTACCACGCTGGCAGTCGCCCGAGTCTTCAACGGTCCACGTCAACGCCATCACGATGAAACGGGCTGTCGCCGCTGGAGCTGACGTGTACGTAGTGGATATAGCATTGATAGGAGAAGCAGAGCAGCCGAGTGATTTTCAGAAACAGCTGACAGCGGTACCGCCCGAACTGCAGGAGCTATTGAAACGGTACCCGGAGATTTTTCCCGACGACTTACCGGAGGGACTGCCACCTCAGCGAGCACACGACCACCGCATAGAGTTAGAACCCGGGGCACAGCCAACCGTACAGCGACAGTTCAGACTGACACAGCCCGAGCTCGATGAGCTGAGGAAGCAGTTAGACTACCTATTAGAGAAAAAATTCATCCGACCGAGCTCGTCACCGTTCGCCGCACCGATACTGTTCACACCGAAAAAAGACGGAGGGTTTCGCATGTGCATCGATTACAGAGCACTGAACCGGGTAACAGTCAAGTCGCGATACCCCATTCCCCGCGCTGACGAACTGATCGACCAGCTGCGAACAGCACGTGTTTTTTCGAAAATAGATTTACGGGGAGGTTACCATCAGATTCGGGTCGAACCATCAGACTGCGCCGAGACAGCATTTAGGACTAGGTACGGGTCATTCGAGTACACCGTGATGCCATTCAGGTTGACCAACGCACCGGCAACATTTCAGATGACCATGAACGAGGCGTTTAGGCCACTTTTAGATAAATGCGTGATAGTTTACCTCGACGACATCCTAGTCTACAGTCGTGATAAGCAGCAGCATTTAGCAGATCTGGAAGCAGTGTTTAAAGTTTTAGACGAGCACAGACTACTGACCAAGGGTTCCAAGTGCGAGTTTTTTCAGGACAGGTTAGAATTTTTAGGACACGTTATTTCGGAGGCTGGGGTTGAAATCGACCCAAAGAAGCTGGACACGGTCAAAGCGTGGCACCCTCCGACAAATATCACGGAGCTGCAGAGTTTTTTAGGGTTCGTTAATTACGTGCGTCGGTTCGTCCCCGACATGGCGCAATTAACAGCCCCACTGACGGATCTGCTGCGGAAGGTGGTCCCTTTTACGTGGGGGGAGAAAGAGCATGATGCCTTCTCTGCCCTGAAAACTGTTCTCTGTTCACCGCCCGTACTGCGCATCGCTGACCCACACCGCCCCTTCGAAGTCGTAACCAACGCAAGCGACATCGCCATTGGAGCCGTACTGCTACAGGATTTCGGCAACGGCCTACAGCCCATCGCCTACGAGTCACGAAAGCTGCATCCGCCCGAGAAAAATTACCCGATACACGACCGCGAAATGCTCGCAATCGTGCATGCGTTCAAGGTCTAGCGCTGTTACTTGACCGGCGCAGACGTGACAGCACGGACAGACCACCGATCCCTACAGTACCTCCACGCACAGCCCCACCTCAACCCACGACAGATCCGCTGGCTCGATTTCCTCGAGTCAAACTTCCACTACACGGTCACCTACAAAAAGGGAGCATCCAACATCGCTGACGCACTGACCCGCCCCACTGCCCAAATCCACGCGATACTACTCGCCCAGACCAGCCCGCTACTGACAGGACTATTTACCCACGGGTACCAAACGGACCCGTTCTTCACAGGAGGAAATTCGCAGCAGTTCGCAGCAGCCAAGGGAGTCTATTACGTAAAAGCCGGGACCGACCGCATCTGGGTACCAGGGTAAACACTGCTACGGGAATTACTGTTACAGGAGGCACACGACGGAGTTACCTCGGGACATTTCGGGGTAGAGAAAACACGGCAGCAGCTGCAACGGTATTACTATTGGCCCGAGATGCTGACCGACGTGCAACGACACGTGGCATCGTGTCCCACCTGCCAGCTCATGAAGTCGTCACGACAACGACCGGCAGGACAGTTGCAGCCGATACCACCCCCAGAGCGTGCTTGGCAGCAGGTGACGATGGACTTCGTCACGGGGTTACCAGCTGGAGCAAGTGGGAACGACGCGATCTTGGTCGTCGTCGATCGGCTGACGAAAATGGCACACTTCGCAGCATGCAAGAAATCAATCACAGCCGAAGAAACAGCTCGCCTCTTCATCGCCACCATCGTTCGATTACACGGGATACCAGCAGCGATCATCAGCGACCGCGACACGAAATTCACCAGCAACTTCTGGCGGAACCTGTGGCAGCAGTTCGGCACGCGACTGCAGTTCAGTTCATCATACCACCCCGAAACCGACGGACAGACAGAACGGACAAATCAGACCATGGAACAGCTCATTCGGGCCACGTGCGACGACCCGACCACGTGGGAACAGCAATTGCCACTCATCGAATTCGCATACAACAACTCGCCATCCGCCACGACCCAACAGTCACCGTTTTACCTGAACTACGGACAAGACCCCACAGTACCCATGACCCCGAATCCCGACAACCCAGTCCCACGCGCGCAACAGTTCGCAGAAATACTGCAAGCAGCACGGACCCGAGCAGCCGAAGCAATAAAAAAAATCAAACATCATCGCTAAACGCAACGCTGATCCCCACCGCCGACCCCCACCGCCGACCTGTCACTTATCAGCCAGACGACCTAGTTCTACTCGACACTCAAAACCTCCGCCTGCCCATCACCCCAAAACTCCGCCCCCGATATTGCGGGCCATTTCGCATCAGCCACATGATCACACCCATCACCGCCCATCTCCTCCTCCCTGCTGACTGGTACGTCAGCCCGTCATTCCACGTCAGCCTGCTTCGCCCATACGTGCCATCCACCAGCCAACTGCCTCGCAACCGCCCCGCCAGCATGACACGACCGCCGACTGAGCCAATCATCACGCCTGAGAAAATACTGAGCCATCGAGTACGTGACCCACGGGGAGCCCGCAGAATCGAATTCCTGATCCGCTGGAAAGACCGCACGCCCACCGAAGACAACTGGGTCCCCTTGGATAGAATTGAGAATCACCCTGTCCTCACTGAGTATCTGCGCAGCCGAAACTTCCAAGATGTACACGCGCTCTCGTAAGAGGGGCCTCCTTGGGGAGGGGGGTAGTGTAAGGAAAATTCCTTTTCCTTACTTCGCGTCCCTGCTTACCGCGTACATAACCGTTCCCGCCATCAGCACCCATCCATGCACGTTACCCGTTCACGACACTCGCCTCGACCACGACTCCCGCCACTGTTCACGACGCGACCCAACCTAACGGTTCGGTTGGTAATCCGCGCTCCGGACCTCCGCCTCGACAATTCTCCAAACCTCGGCGCTAGGCCCGTAGCGCACCTCAATTTCCCACTTTACCGTTACCACTGTAGTTTCGCTATATATTCTTCGCTCATGCCTTCTCTCATTGTACTCTTGCTTCGATAGTGCAATTCTCGCTCGTTCACTCAATTGCACTCGTAACAGTCACACACAACCTCATCCCCTCCAAACTCGCGCGCGCTTCAACCACAGTAGCACTTCCAAGCCTGCTCGAAAGACATACCATATCCCTTTCGTCGAGCAAGCAGAGGGCCTCTATTTGTCAGTTCCATTCTAGGTCACCGCGATCTTGGGCATTTGCTGCTACCTTGGGCCTAAGGTTGCTGTTATCTTGCACCTAAGGTTGCTGTTATCTTGGGCCTAGGTCGCAATTTGTCCTGCGGATTCGGTCTTGATCCGAGGGATCCATCGGTCTGCAGCGGTCTTTCTTGTACGTGTCGCTGCGATCTTCCAATTTCGCGCGCCGATCGTTTTCGTTTGTACCCGCTTCGTGGAGCAGAGCCGAGGCTGTTGCATAGTTTAGAGAGTCGCGCTCGTTAATTTCGAGTTACAAGAAAAAGGGCAACAAGTAAAGGGCCGGTCTACCTTCGCATTCGGAGAAGTAGCCCAAAAAAAAGGGAACAGAAAGGAGCGTTTTTAGCTGCACTTATATTAGTGTCGCTTATGAGAGCTGCGCTTTAAGTAGCTCCGCTTACATCCGCCATGGCGAATCCCGGAGGAGGCGCCGAGGCCTTCGCGCGATTCAAGCAGTATGAGTACCGCGCCAACTCCTCCCTCGTGCTCAACCTCGAGTCGCGTCCGCGCGACTCGCACGAACCCACGGGCGAGCCGGAGACCCTCTGGGGCCGCGTCGACATGAAGAAATTCGGCGACCGGGCCGGCCACGGCAGGCCGAAGGAGGTGGAGGAAGCTGCGAAGAAGAAGCGCGAGAAGCGCGAGAAGGACCGCCTGAAATCGCTCGCGGCCGGCGGAACCTCTGCGGCTGGCGCCGGCGGCGACGTCGGCTTGGATCTGCTCGGGAAGAAGTCGACCAAGCGGCAGAAGCGCGGCACCGGCGCCGGCGGCGGCGGCGGGGGTGGCGGGCAGGGCGGGGCGGGTTTTCAGGAGGACACGGTTCTGTCGCTGGTCGACGACGGGATGTACCGCCCGCGCACGCGCGAGACGCGCGCCGCGTACGAGCTTCTGCTGAGCCTCATCCAGCAGCAGTTTGGGGACCAACCGCAGGACGTCTTGCGCGGCGCGGCGGACGAGGTTCTAACGGTTCTTAAAGACGACAAGCTGACGGATCCGGAGCGGAAGCGCGAAATCGAGAAGCTGCTGAACGCGATGCCGAACGAGCGGTTCGCGGAGTTCGTCGCGCTCGGGAAGCGCATCACGGACTACGAGCAGGGCGGCGGAGGGGGCGGCGGAGGCGGAGGCGGAGCCGGCGGAGACGGGGAGGGCGGAGCGGGGCAGGCGCTAGACGACGATATCGGCGTGGCGGTTGAATTCGAAGAGGAGGAGGATGAGGACGATGAGGATTTAGACGAGATTCAGGAGGAGGATGAGGACGAGGAGGAGGAGGAGGGCGCGGAAGGCGGGGACGGCGGAGAGGGCGCGGCGGACGGCGGAATGCAGATGGCGGGCGCGCTAGACGACGACGAGGAGCGCGAGGAGGAGGGGCTGAGCGTTCAGGACATCGACGCCTATTGGCTGCAGCGCAAGATCGCGCAGGCGTACGCCACGTCAGCAGGCGGCGGAATCGACCCGCAGCAGAGCCAGAAGCTCGCGGCGGAGGCGCTGGGGATATTGGAGGCGGCGGGCGGCGGGGAAGGGGACGGGGGAGGGGGAGGCGGAGGCGGAGGCGGAGGCGGAGGGGGGGCGTCGGGGTGGGGCGCAGGCGCGGGTGCGGATGAGCAGCAGCGGGAGGCGGAGAATAAGCTCGTGAGGCTTCTGGATTACGATAAATTCGATTTGATCAAGCTCTTACTGCGCAATCGGCTCAAGATTGTATGGTGTACGCGGCTGGCGCGCGCGGAGGACGACGCGGAGCGGAAGCGCATCGAGGGGGAGATGACGGAGAAGGGGGACCGCGCGCTACGCGCGATTCTGGAGCAGCTGCACGCGACGCGCGCGTCCGCCAAGGAGAGGCAGCGGAACCTCGAGCGCAGCATCCGCGAGGAGGCGCGGAAGCTGCGCGAGGGGGGCGCGGGAGGCGCGGGGGGCGCGGGGGAGGGGATGGAGGGCGACGAGATGGAGATTGGGCGGAAGGGGGAGAGAGGGGGGAAGGGCGGGGAGGAGGGGGAAGCGGGAGGAGGGGGAGGCGGAAGAGGCGGGGGAGGCGGAGGGGGAGGGTGGTTGAAGGGGCAGCGGCAGATGCTAGATCTCGATTCGCTCGGTTTCTCCCAGGGCAGTTGGTTGATGGCCAACAAACGTTGCGAGCTGCCCGAGGGCTCGTACCGGGCACCCAAAAAAGGTTACGAGGAGGTCCACGTGCCCGCCCTGAAGCCCAAGCCTTTGGGCAAGGGCGAGGAGCTGGTGAAAATTTCCGACCTGCCCGAATGGGCTCAGCCCGCGTTTGGCGAGACGAAAACCCTAAACCGCATCCAGAGCAAGGTTTATGAAACGGCGCTATTCACCCCGGAAAATATGCTGCTCTGCGCGCCGACCGGGGCAGGAAAAACAAACGTCGCGATGCTGACGATTCTGCATGAGATCGGGTTGCATAGGAGGGAGGACGGGAGTATTGACTTGTCGGGGTTTAAGATCGTGTATGTGGCGCCTATGAAAGCGCTGGTGGCGGAACTGGTGGGGAATCTGGGAAACCGGCTGAAGGATTATGGCGTGAGCGTGAAGGAGCTGACTGGAGATGCTTCGCTGACCCGACAGCAGATTGAAGAAACCCAGGTGAGAGGGAGGGGGGCGTTAGGGGCGTTACTGCAGTGGTATGTGGTGGTTTGGTATGGGTGCGAGGGGTTTTGAAGGAGTATGGGAGATTGAAGAGACCCAGGTGAGGCGGGAGGGACATCACAACGCGCACGGCAGGTGAACTGTGACCGCACATACACACAGCTGGTCAGTCTCACACTCTTCCTTACTCTTCCTTACTTTCCTCAACTGCTGGCAACCCTAATTCCTCCGTCCCCCCCCTCCTCCCCCCCCCCCCCCCTCCTCTCCCAGGTCATAGTGACCACGCCGGAAATGTGGGACATTATAACGCGCAAGGAAGGAGACTGCACGTACACGCAGCTGGTGCTGCTGGCGATTCTTTCACTCTCTCCCCCTCCCTCACTCTCTCCGTCATTCTCCCCCTCTCCCCGCCCGGCCCCCCTCTCTCCCCCTCGCTCCCCCCCCCAGATCATAGTGACTACCCCCGAGAAGTGGGACATCATAACGCGCAAGGCGGGGGACCGCACGTACACACAGCTGGTGCGGCTGGTTATTCAATCACTTCTCTCTCTCTCTCTCTCTCTCTCTCTCTCTCTCTCTCTCTCTCTCTCTCTCTCTCTCTCTCCCCACTCTCACCTCTCTCTCTCCGTTACTCTCTCCCTCGCCCTCTCCCTCACCCTCCTCCCTTAACCCCGTCAGATCATCGTGACCACGCCAGAGAAGTGGGACATCATAACGCGCAAGGCGGGCGACCGCACGTACACACAGCTGGTCCGTCTCGTGATCATCGACGAGATCCACCTCCTGCACGACCACCGCGGGCCCGTCCTCGCGAGCACCACTGGAGTGGAGATCCCTCTCTCTCTCTCTCTCTCTCTCCCTCACTCCCTCTCTCCCTCACTCACTCTCTCACTCTCTGCCTCTCTCCCTCACTCACTCTCTCACTCTCTGCCTCTCTCCCTTCCTCACTCTCTCCCTCACTCGCTTCCCCACTCCCCCAGATCATAGTCACCACGCCTGAGAAGTGGGACATCATAACGCGCAAGGCAGGGGACCGCACGTACACACAATTAGTCCGTCTCGTGATCATTGACGAGATCCACCTCCTGCACGACCACCGCGGACCCGTGCTCGAAAGCATCGTCGCTCGAACCGTCCGCCAGGTCGAGAGCACCCAGGAGATGATCCGATTGGTCGGGCTTTCCGCCACTCTCCCGAATTACGAAGACGTGGCGATTTTTCTGCGCGTGGATTTAGACAAGGGGCTGTTTTACTTCGATAATTCGTTCCGCCCGTGCCCGCTCGCGCAGCAGTATATCGGAATCACGGTTCGGAAGCCGCTGCAGAGGTTCCAGTTAATGAATGAAATCTGCTATGAGAAGGTGGTGGAGTGCGCCGGGCGGCACCAAGTGCTGGTTTTTGTCCATTCCCGGAAAGAGACGGGGAAGACCGCCCGCGCGGTGCGGGACGCGGCTCTGGCTGCGGATACGCTGGGGCGGTTTTTGAAGGAGGATGGGGCGAGCAGGGAGATTCTGGCGAGTGAGGCGGAGAGTGTGAAGAGTGGGGAGCTGAGGGACCTGCTGCCGTATGGGTTTGCCATTCACCATGCTGGGCTGGCCCGGGCGGATAGGACGCTCGTTGAGGATTTATTTGCTGATGGGCACATTCAGGTGAGGAGGGAGAGTTAGAGGGAGGCCGAGGAGAAAGAGAGGGACCTGCTGCCGTATGGGTTTGCCATTCACCATGCTGGGCTGGCCCGGGCGGACAGGACGCTCGTGGAAGACCTGTTTGCAGATGGGCACATTCAGGGGTAAGGGGGTGGCTGGGGTTTACACCTCAACATTAGGTGGGGCGAGGAGAGAGGGGGCGAGAGCTGGAAGGGAGGGTAGGGAGGGAGAGGGAGAGGGAGAGGGCAAATAGTGGGATTCTGGCGAGTGAGGCGGAGAGTGTGAGGAGTGGCGAGCTGAGGGACCTGCTGCCGTATGGGTTTGCCATTCACCATGCTGGGCTGGCCTGGGCGGACAGGACACTCGTTGAGGACTTGTTTGCTGACGGGCACATTCAGGTGAGAGCCTTGGTTGGTTGGGTGTATGAAGCACACGTGATGGGGCGAGGGGTGAGAGGGGAAGAGAGAGGGGGCGAGAGTGGGGAACGGAGAGGAGGAAAGAGGGTGAGTAGGGAGATTCTGGCGAGCGAGGCGGAGAGTGTGAGGAGTGGGGAGCTGAGGGGATTGCTGCCGTTCAAGATGCCATATTCAGGGTTCCCCGTTTCCCGTTCACCGTTTCCCATTTCCTGAATACCCCACCGAAGCCCCTTCCTCCCCTCCTCGTTTTCCCCCTTATCCCCGGCTCGTGCTGCAGGTGCTTGTGTCAACTGCTACTCTCGCATGGGGTGTCAACCTGCCGGCCCACACGGTCATTATCAAGGGCACGCAGGTATGGTTTGAGGGGGAATGGCTGGTCGGACTTGGCTACCAATGAGCAGCAGTGGCTGGCAGCAGTGCTTGTGTCAACTGCTCCTCTCTGCTACTCTCGCACGGTCATCATTTAGGGCACGAAGGTATGGTGGGAAGGGGGGGAGTGTGGCTGTTTAGACTTAGTTACCAGAGTGTAGGTGTGTGTGTGTGTTTTCTGCTGTTACTCTGGCCTCGAAGGGATGTCAACCTGCCAGCCCACAAAGGTCATTATCAAGGGCACGCAGGAATGGTTTGGGGGGGAGTGTGGCTGTTCAGACTTCCTCCCTCTCTCCCTCCTCCCCTCCCGTCTCGTCTCCTCCCTCCTATTCCGCGTTTCCCTTCTTGTTGTCACCCCACCCCCCTTCTGGACTCATGCCTTCAGGTGTACAACCCGGAGAAGGGAGCATGGACGGAGCTCTCTCCCCGTTAGACGTCATGCAGATGCTGGGGCGAGCGGGGCGGGCGCAGTACGACACAACAAGTCACACATGCGTTCTGTGTTTCCTCTTTTCCCTTTCACGTTGCTCAGGTGTACAACCCAGAGAAGGGAGCATGGACGGAGCTCTCTCCCCGTTAGACGTCATGCAGATGCTGGGGCGAGCGGGGCGGGCGCAGTATGGCACTCACCTCTCATTTCCCTCTCTTTCCTCGTGTTCCTTGTTTTTCTCTTGCCCTCCTCCCTGCAGGTGTACAACCCAGAGAAGGGAGCATGGACGGAGCTCTCCCCGTTAGACGTCATGCAGATGCTGGGGTGGGCGGGGCGTTGACAGCACAAAACACACAAGTCACATATATTCTGCCTTCTCCTTTCTCTCTCTTTCCCCTTGTTCTTTTTCTTCTCTTGCCGTCTATTCTCAGGTGTACAATCCAGAGAAGGGCGCATGGACGGAGCTCTCCCCCTTAGACGTCATGCAGATGCTGGGGCGGGCGGGGCGGCCTCAGTACGATCCACAAGTCACACATGCGTTCTGTGTTTTCCTCTGTCATTCCCTTTCTCTCTGCCCAGGTGTACAACCCTGAAAAAGGAGCATGGACGGAGCTCTCCCCTTTAGACGTCATGCAGATGCTGGGGCGAGCGGGGCGGCCGCAGTACGACACCTATGGGGAGGGTGTGATTATAACGGGGCATGGCGAGCTGCAGTTCTACCTGTCGCTGCTGAACCAGCAGCTCCCCATAGAGTCACAGCTGCTGTCGCGCCTGGCGGATAGCCTGAACGCGGAGGCAGTGCTGGGCACAGTGCACAACGCAAGGGAGGCGTGCAGGTGAGGCGGGGGCAGCATGAGTTGTACGTTTAGGTTTGGTTCAGGGTTGGGGTTTAGGGTTTACCCGATTCAGTTCTACCTGTCGCTGCCTGAACCTGAGAGAGCAGAGGAGGTCCTAGCACGTGAAGCCCAGCGCGAGGAGGCCGTGGTGGGGCGGGAACATGAGAGAGCAGAGGAGGTTGTAACACCTGAAAGACGTAGCTCCTCTGCTCTCTCGGGTTCCCGCCTCACCACGGCCTCCTCGCGCTGGGCTTCTCGTGCTACGACCTCCTCTTCAGTTCTACCTGAACCAGCAGCTCCCCATAGAGTCACAGCTGCTGTCCCGCCTGGCTGAGAGCCTGAACGCTGAGGCGGTGCTTGGGACGGTCCAGAGCGCACGGGAGGCGTGCAGGTGAGGGGGGGCAGGGGGTTCGGGGTTTAGGGTTTACTGGCTGACCCAGTAGCTTCCCCATCGAGTCACAGCTGCTGTCCCGCCTGGCTGAGAGCCTGAACGCTGAGGCGGTGCTTGGGACGGTTCATAGTGCATGGGAGGAGGCAGGTGAGGAGGTGCGGGGACAGGGGGGGTGGGGTGAGCCGTATTGCTATCTGCCGCTGCTGTCGTGCCTGGCTGACAGTCTCAATGCGGAGGCGGTACCGGGCACGGTGTACCATGCACGGGAGGCGAGCAGGTGAGGGGGGAGAGGGGCAAGGGCAAGGGCAGGGGCAAGGGGGATGGGGTGTGGTGCGTTTAACCTGGTGCTGCTGTCGCGCCTGGCTGACAGTCTCAATGCGGAGGCGGTACCGGGCACGGTGTACAATGCACGGGAGGCGTGCAGGTGAGGGGGGGCGGGGACAGGGGGGATGGGGTACACGTATCTGTACATCCACATGCTGCGCAACCCCCCTCTCTCTATGACATCTCATATGTATGCGCCCTTTCCCCCTTCCCCCGACCCGTCTCCCTCCCCCCCGTCTCTCCGCCCCCCTTCCTCCAATCCCAGGTGGCTGGGCTACACGTACCTGTACATCCGCATGCTGCGCAACCCCCTTCCACTTACACTACGGATGAGACCCCTTACACTTGTCCTCACATGTATTCTCTTCCCCTTCCGGCCCCACTCTCCCCCAATCCCAGGTGGCTGGGCTACACATACCTGTACATCTGCATGCTGCTGCGCAACCCGCCCCTTGTCTGTGCACCCCCTTTCCCCTCTTTACCTCTCCTCCTCTCCCTTACAATCGCAGGTGGCTGGGCTACACGTACCTGTACATCCGCATGCTGCGCAACCCCCCTCTGTACGGCATCTCGGCAGACAGGGAGGAGGGCTTGCTGCGTTGTCTGTCGTTCACACATACACCTCTTACCCCCCCTTCCTCCCTCTAATTCCAGGTGGCTGGGCTACACGTATCTGTACATCCGCATGCTGCGCAACCCCCCTCTGTACGGCATCTCGGCAGACAGGGAGGAGGGCTTGCTGCCTGCTACTCGCCCGGACCAGTGTGTAACATGTCTTTCACATGTATCTCCACCATCCCCCCTCTCCCCGCTTATCCCAGGTGGCTGGGCTACACGTACCTGTACATCCGCATGCTGCGCAACCCCCTTCCACTTACACTACGGATGAGACCCCTTACACTTGTCCTCACATGTATTCTCTTCCCCTTCCGGCCCCACTCTCCCCCAATCCCAGGTGGCTGGGCTACACATACCTGTACATCTGCATGCTGCTGCGCAACCCGCCCCTTGTCTGTGCACCCCCTTTCCCCTCTTTACCTCTCCTCCTCTCCCTTACAATCGCAGGTGGCTGGGCTACACGTACCTGTACATCCGCATGCTGCGCAACCCCCCTCTGTACGGCATCTCGGCAGACAGGGAGGAGGGCTTGCTGCGTTGTCTGTCGTTCACACATACACCTCTTACCCCCCCTTCCTCCCTCTAATTCCAGGTGGCTGGGCTACACGTATCTGTACATCCGCATGCTGCGCAACCCCCCTCTGTACGGCATCTCGGCAGACAGGGAGGAGGGCTTGCTGCCTGCTACTCGCCCGGACCAGTGTGTAACATGTCTTTCACATGTATCTCCACCATCCCCCCTCTCCCCGCTTATCCCAGGTGGCTGGGCTACACGTACCTGTACATGCGGCGCAACCCCGCTCTGTACGCCCCTCATCATATGTATGCCCCCTTAACCTTTCACGCTTCTCCCTTTTCCCCTTTCAGGTGGCTGGGATACACGTATCTGTACATCCGCATGCTGCGCAACCCGCCTCTGTATGGCATCTCGGCTGACGATGCTGAGAGGGACCCAGTGTTGGAGGAGAGGCGGGCGGACCTGGTGAGTGGCATGGCAGTCATTAGTGGTAGTGTGCTAGTAGTGAAAGTGCTAATAGCGGTGCCAGTAGTGAAAGGGGTGCCTCTCAACCCCCCGCTGTACGGCATATCGGCTGATGAGGCTGAGAGGGATCCTGTGCTAGAGGAGAGAAGGGCGGACCTGGTGAGTGGGTGGTAGAGTGCTATTAGTCCTGCTAGTAGTGGTAGTGCGAGTAATGCTAGTGCCAGTAGTGAAAGGGGTGCATGCTGCGCAACCCCCCTCTGTACGGCATATCGGCTGATGATGCTGAGAGGCACCCCGTGCTGGAGGAGAGGCGGGTAGACCTGGTGAGTGGCGGACAGGGGTGACTTGATTGATTTGGTGAGTGCAAGTGGTTCGTTGTGTGGTGTGCTGTCCAGCTCAACCCCCCGCTGTACGGCATATCGGCTGACGATGCTGAGAGGCACCCTGTGCTGGAGGAGAGGCGGGTAGACCTGGTGAGTGGCAGACCAGAAATGAGCTGGTGCGTAGCTGTGGTGCTAGAGTTGGTAGTGTGAGTGGTGAAACGGGTGCATGCATGATCAACCCCCCGCTGTACGGCATATCGGCTGATGAGGCTGAGAGGGATCCTGTGCTGGAGGAGAGGCGGGCGGACGTGGTGAGTGCTGGAGACAGGGAGTGACTGGGCTGATTGGGTGGGTACAAGTGGTGGGTTGTGGTGGTGTGCTGCCCAACACACTTCACTCTCTGTACGGCATATCGGCTGATGAGGCTGAGAGGGATCCTGTGCTAGAGGAGAGGCGGGCGGACCTGGTGAGTGACAGTGGTGGTTTGGTGAGTGGGAGGCAGTGACAACGGGGGAGGGACACGGACAAGGGAGGGAGGAGTGAGAAATATCTTTGCAGGGATTTTTTTTTTCTTAGCTAGTATTGGAAAGTGCTGATTTTGACAGGCGTACCCCTCTTGCTGCTGGGAGTTTACAGTTACAGCAACCTCACCTCCTTTCTCCGCGCCTTCCCTTCTCTTCCTGACACCTTTTGACACGCCTCAAAAGAATGATCGTTTTGGAAAGTGCTGATTGTGACAGGCGTGCTCCTCTGCTTCTGGGTGTTTACCGTTCCCCCTTTCCTGTCGCTCCCCCTAATCTTCCGCCCGCCCTTGCAACAACTCCCTGCCTTCCCTGTGCTTCTTTACCTTTATTAATACCAGATCCACTCGGCAGATCCAGATCCACTCTACCTTTACCTTCCTGCCCGCTCTTCCATCTCCCCATTATTCACCAGATCCACTCGGCAGCGGTGCAGCTGGATCGCAACAACCTCACGAAGTACGACCGCAAGTCGGGTTTTGAGGTGCCTCAAAAGTAGCAACATTCTTCCCTTCCTGCCCGCTCTTCCATCTCCCCATTATTCACCAGATCCACTCAGCAGCGGTGCAGCTGGATCGCAACAACCTCATGAAGTACGACCGCAAGTCGGGAGTCTTCCAGGTGAGTTTCCACCAAACATCAGGTGTTTTTCCAGGTGAGTTCAAGTAAGATTGCAAGTGAGGGGTTTCCAGGTGAGTCCAGCTTCTCCCGCAGGTGCATTCTCAGGTGAGTTAAGTACGATTGCAGCCTTTTACCCGCTTTTCTGTTACAGAGCCGCATTGCCCTCTGCCACCTCTTACAGAGCGGAACCTACTGACCCTGGCAACACATGTGCTCCCTCCCTGCTTCCCCCCTTCCCTCTCCATCTCCCTTTCCTTCTCCTGCACCCTCAACACACTCATTCTGTTAACTCCCTTTACCTTTCTCCAGGTGACCGATCTCGGTCGTATTGCCTCCTTCTACTACATCTCGCACGGCACCATCGCGACGTACAACGAGCACTTAAAGCCCACGATGGGCGACATCGACCTGTGCCACCTCTTCTCGCTGTCAGAGGAGTTCAAGTACGTGGGAGTGCGTGAGGAGGAGAAGCTGGAACTGGCGAAGCAACTTGAGTTCCCCCTCCCTCTCCATTTCTCCCCTTCTCCTTTTGGCACACACACCTCAGGGGAGTGCGAGGAGGAGAAGCTGGAGCTGGCGAAGCTGCTGGAGCGAGTTAAGCCTTCCATGGCCCACCCACCACATTCCCCTCTCCCCTCACCTCCCTCCCTCCCCTTTTTCTTCCCTTCCCCACCCCCTCCCCCCGCCACCCCCCCACCCCCCCAGGTGACCGATCTCGGGCGAATTGCCTCGTTCTACTACATCTCGCACGGCACCATCGCGACGTACAACGAGCACTTAAAGCCCACGATGGGCGACATCGACCTGTGCCGCCTCTTCTCTCTTTCTGAAGAGTTCAAGTACGTGGGCGTGCGCGAGGAGGAGAAGCTGGAGCTCGCCAAACTGCTGGAGCGAGTGCCCATCCCCGTGAAGGAGGGCATTGAAGAGCCCAGCGCCAAGATCAACGTGCTGCTGCAGGTGGGGTTTGGGGTTTAGGGTTTAAAGGGTTTGGGGTGTTTCTCTCCCCTCTCCCCCCTCACTCTGCTGCTGGAGCGAGTGCCCATCCCCGTGGAGGAGGGCATTGAGGAGCCCAGCGCCAAGATCAACGTGCTGCTGCAGGTGGGCTGCTTGGGGGTTTCGGGGTTTTAGCGTTCGGGGTTCTTCTCTTCGCTGTCGCTCCCCTCTCTCTCTTCAGTCTCTCCCTTCCCCCCCCCCCCCCCCCCCCCTCCTTCTCTTTCCTGTCTACTGCCTCTTCTCTTGCTCTCTCCAGGCATACAGGAGCCAGCTTCAATTCGATAGGCTCCCGCTCGTCTCTGACATGGTCTACGTCACTCAGGTGCCCTATCTTGGAATCAACTCAACTCACTTCCCTTTCCTCTTCTGCCTGTCTCTACCTCCCTTGCCCGCTTCCCCCGCCTCTCCCTCTACCAGGCGTACATCAGTCAGCTGCAGCTGGATGGGCTGTCACTCGTCTCTGACATGGTCTACGTCACTCAGGTTCGCTGCAGTAAACGCTTACCTAAGCATGTTGCTTGAATGTAAAACAACTCCGATTGCTCTGCGGAATCCCAATGGAACACTCGGCTGAGCAGTGGTTGTCATGTCGGCTAGACGGTCTTGTTAGTTAGCCAATGCTACAGTACTGCGTACGTAGGAAGTAACGAAAAGCTTCATTCAGCAGAGATGCTTTCTCTCAGTGTGGGTCGACGTCCTATGTTTGTCGTGTGTGCAATTGAGAATTTTAAACTGTACGTTTCGCTCCCCTACTCTCCCCCTGTCACCCCTTCCAGTCTGCAGGTCGGCTCATGCGGGCGCTTTTCGAGATCATTCTCAGAAGGGGGTGGGCGCGCCTAGCAGAGAAGGCACTGAACCTCTGCAAGATGGTGTCTCGCCGCATGTGGGCTGCCCCCTTCCCAACGCCCCTCTCCCCCTCTCTGGCTGGCAGAGAGGGCACTCAACCTCTGCAAGAAGGTGTCTTGCAGCATGTGGGCAGCGCAGTCGCCCTCCTTGCAAGCTCGAATTCTCACTATTTCCCCCCCTCCCTTCCCTTCTATGTGCCCTTCCAGTCTGCAGGTCGGCTCATGCGGGCTCTGTTTGAGATCATCCTAAGGAGGGGGTGGGCGCGCCTGGCAGAGCGAGCACTCAACCTCTGCAAGATGGTGTCCCGCCGCATGTGGGCGGCCCAGTCGCCCCTGCGGCAGAGTCATGCCATATCGCCCCCCTCTTATTACCCCTTCCCACCTCTTCCTCTGCTCCTCTCTCCTCCACCACCACCCACCACCCTGGTTCCCCCCGTCTACCCCTCCCAGTCCGCTGGTCGCCTCATGCGAGCATTGTTTGAGATCATCCTAAGGAGGGGGTGGGCGCGCCTGGCAGAGCGGGCACTGAACCTCTGCAAGATGGTGTCTCGCCGCATGTGGGCAGCCCAGTTCCCCCTGCGGCAGTTCAAGGGAGTGCCTCTTGAGATCATCGCCAAGCTAGAGAGGAAGGACCTCGTGTGGGAGCGATACTACGACCTCTCCTCCCAGGTGGGTAGGGATGGGGAGCGGTGGAAAGCGGTTGGATGGGGTGGGGCCCGGTGGGCAGCGCAGTCGCCCCTGAGGCAGCTCAAGGGAGTGCCTTTTGAAATCATCGCCAAGCTGGAGCGAAAGGATTTGGTGTGGGAGCGTTACTACGACCTCTCGTCCCAGGTGGGTAGGGATGGGGTGCGGTGAAGTGCGGTGGGGTGGGGTGGGGTGGGGGGGGGGGGGTGGGCAGCGCAGTCCCCTCTGCGGCAGTTCAAGGGCGTGCCTCTCGAGATTATCGCCAAGCTCGAGAGGAAGGACCTCGTGTGGGAGCGATACTACGACCTCTCCTCCCAGGTGGGCAGGAGTGGGAAGCGGTGGAGTGCGGTGGGACGGGGTGGGTAGCCCAGTCCCCCCTGAGGCAGTTCAAGGGAGTGCCTCTTGAGATCATCGCCAAGCTGGAGCGCAAGGATTTGGTGTGGGAGCGTTACTACGACCTCTCGTCCCAGGTGGGTAGGGATGGGAAGCGGTGGAAAGCGGTTGGATGGGGTGGGGTGGGCAGCGCAGTCCCCCCTGCGGCAGTTCAAGGGAGTGCCTCTTGAGATCATCGCCAAGCTCGAGAGGAAGGACCTCGTGTGGGAGCGATACTACGACCTCTCGTCCCAGGTGGGAAGTGGTGGGGTATACATGGTCAAACTGACGAGTCGAGCAAAACTCTGACGAGCAATTTTCTCGTTTTAGGGTACTCGTGACTCGTCGTTTTTGGGCATGCTCGGACGCGTTTAGGTGCATGCTCGTCTGAGCACAGGTAATGCTCGACTCGCCAAGCTGGAGCGCAAGGATTTGGTGTGGGAGCGTTACTACGACCTCTCGTCCCAGGTGGGTAGGGATGGGAAGCGGTGGAAAGCGGTTGGATGGGGTGGGGTGGGCAGCGCAGTCCCCCCTGCGGCAGTTCAAGGGAGTGCCTCTTGAGATCATCGCCAAGCTCGAGAGGAAGGACCTCGTGTGGGAGCGATACTACGACCTCTCGTCCCAGGTGGGAAGTGGTGGGGTATACATGGTCAAACTGACGAGTCGAGCAAAACTCTGACGAGCAATTTTCTCGTTTTAGGGTACTCGTGACTCGTCGTTTTTGGGCATGCTCGGACGCGTTTAGGTGCATGCTCGTCTGAGCACAGGTAATGCTCGACTCGCCACCCTGTGCCTTGTAACTGCAAAATCTGCCCCTGCATAAATTTCCTAGATAAGACATGGGTAGGGTGGATTGAGAGGAGGAGGAGATGTGTGTCGCGTCAAACTGTTTCGCGATAACACTTCGCGAACACTTTGACTTGATCGCAGGTGATTCGTGGTAAGGCACGACAAAATTTCACCCGCTCGCCAATTTCGCGAACGGTGGAAATTGTGGTGGTTGGGTACAATTGCGTTTCTCAGATCTGTACCCAACCATTCCCGCAATTTCTCCTTTAGGGTTACGGGACGAGATTCCCGCATGCACGACGAGTTTTAAAAACTCGTCGAGCACGAACAACGCGCCCAAGTAGCCGAAATTGCTCGTCTCCAAGGCGAGCAAACGACGAGCAAAAAATTCTCGGCGAGTAAAACTCGCCTCGCCTCGCCTCGGCCGAGTTTTTTTTTTTTTTCCAAAAAAGGAGGCTCGTCACTCGACCCCCAACGAGCATCTCGAGCGAGTCGAGTAAAAACCCTACCCTCGCTGCCCATGTATATGGTGGGGTGGGGAACGAAACTAACCTCTCCTCCCTCCCAGGGGTGGGGTGGGTGGTTACCCTACCAAGAGGTTACATTACATTTCTCTCCAGTTTCTCCTGGAAAAAAACCTTTTGAGTGGACTCAAAAGTCACCTCCCTACCAAGAGGTTACATTACGTTTCTTCTCTCCCGTTTCTCCTGGAAAAAACTTCTGAGTTGACTCAAAAGCCACCTCCGTACCAAGAGGTTGCATTACATTTCTTCTCTCCAGTTTGTCCTGGAAAAAATGGATTCGTTGCCTTTGAGTATTCTCAAGAGTGATATCCTTCTTCTCTCTTCTGCCTCACTCTTCTCTCCCCCCTCTCCTTCCCAATCCCTTCTCTCATTTCTCTCTCGCAGGAGCTCGGGGAACTGGTTCGCATGCCGAAGCTCGGCAAGACTCTGCATAAGCTGGTGCACCAGGTGAGACTGGCTGGCTGGTAGTGAAGACTGTTATAGCGAGTATGGGAGTGTTTTGGTATGGTGGTTACGTAAGTACACTGTAAAAGCTGGTGACCCAGGTGAGAATGGCTTGCTGGTTGGTAGTGATGACTGTTATAGCGAGTATGGGGCTGTTTAGTCTGGTAGGTACGCTGCACAAGCTGGCAGCGCAAGTCCTCCAGATCAACCACTCCGTGCTGCGAGTCGGTCTCACCATAACGCCCACTTCTGCTCTCTCCTCTCCATGCTCCCTCTCCGTGTTCTCCCCTACCCTCACGCCCGTTCCCCAGTTCCCTCGCCTGGAACTAGCGGCCCAAGTCCTCCCGATCACGCGCTCAGTGCTGCGAGTCGATCTCACCATAACGCCCAACTTCTCCTTTCTCTCTCCTCTCCGTGCTATCTCTCCTTTCACCACCCCCTCCCACCCACTCCTTCCCCAGTTCCCTCGCCTCGAGCTGGCAGCGCAAGTCCTCCCCATAACACGCTCAATCCTCCGAGTCGATCTCACCATAACACCCGACTTCTGCTCTCTGCCTCTTTCCCTTCCGGCATGCCCTCTTCCCCCCCCGCACTCCCTTCCTTCTGCAGTTCCCTCGCCTCGAGCTGGCAGCGCAAGTGCTCCCGATAACCCGCTCAGTGCTGCGAGTCGATCTCACCATAACGCCCGACTTCCAGTGGGAGGAGAAGCTGCACGGCTTCGTGGAGCCCTTCTGGGTCATCGTCGAGGATCACGATGGAGACACCATCTTACACCACGAGCTTTTCCTCCTCAAGATGCAGTACGCTCAAGAGGATCACTACCTCTCGTTCACGGTTCCGATCTTTGAGCCGCTGCCGCCGCAGTACTTTGTGAAGGTCGTTTCCGACCGTTGGATCGGCGCGCAGACGACGCTGCCCGTGAGCTTCCGCCACCTCATTCTGCCCGAGAAATTCCCGCCGCCCACCGAGCTGCTGGACCTGCAGCCGCTGCCGGTTACCGCGTTACGGAACGCGGCGTTCGAGGCGCTGTACGCTGGAGAAGCAGCGGCAGGCCTGGTTTCCACCGACCCGTCCGGCGCTGGTTCGGGGGCGGTTCGGCGGGGCATTTCGCACTTTAACCCCATTCAGACGCAGGTGTTTACGGTTCTATACAACACCGACGACAACGTCCTTCTCGCCGCGCCGACGGGCAGCGGAAAAACAATCTGTGCTGAGTTCGCAATCCTGCGCATGCTACAGGCTAAGGCCTCCGGCGGGAGCTCGGGCAGCCCGGACGAAATTTCGTACGGCGGGCGGTGTGTGTATGTGGCTCCAGTGGAAGCGATTGTGAAGGAGAGGGCGAAGGAGTGGGGGGAGAGGTTTGGGAAGATGCTGGGCGGAGGGGGGAAGGTGAAGGTGGGGGAGCTGACAGGAGAGAGCGGGACGGATCTGAAGCTGCTGGAGAGGAGCAATATCGTTGTGTGCACTCCGGAGAGATGGGACCAGCTGAGCCGACGATGGAAGCAGAGGCGGGCCGTGCAGCAGGTGAGATTTCACTTCATGGTAAGCGATGGGTGTGTGTGTGTGGAGTGACAGGGGAGCGCGGTACGGATCTGAAGCTGCTGGAGAGGAGCAACATTGTTGTGAGCACTCCCGAGCGATGGGACCAGCTGAGTCGGCGGTGGAAGCAGAGGCGGGCCGTGCAGCAGGTGAGGGGTGAACTGGTGGTTAGTGTGGGGTGTGTGGGTGTGATTCAGGTGTGGCATGTGTGAGGCTGCTGGTAAGTGATGGGTGTGTGTCTGAAGCTGACAGGTTAGAGTGGGACGGATCTGAAGCTGCTGGAGAGGAGCAGCATTGTTGTGAGCACTCCGGAGCGGTGGGACCAGCTGAGCCGACGATGGAAGCAGAGGCGCGACGTGCAGCAGGTGAGGAAGGAATCTTTGGCTTGTGGCTGCCTTGCCAGCGTATTTGCTTTGGTCAGCAGGTACAGACTGCTGGAGAGACGCAGTGCAGCAGCAGCAGGTGAGGGAGTGGCATGTTGGGTTTTGACTCCCATACGGTCTGTTGGCAGCACAGAAGTGGTTTCTGGCAGAAAGTCGGCCGGGCCCACCCACAGGGGTATGGCGCATGCAGGTGGAGCAGGTGATGATGCAGCAGGTGTTGCAGCAGGTGATGCAGCAGGTGATGCAGCAGGTGTTGCAGCAGGTGTTGCAGCAGGTGTTGCAGCAGGTGATGCAGCAGGTGATGCGGCTTTGTGCTCGAAGTCAATGTGATCTCCTCCTACCCTCCGTTCTCTTCCCCGTTCCCTCTATCCAATGCCCCACCCCAGGTGGACCTGTTCATAGTGGACGAATTGCATCTCATCGGAGGTCACAATGGCTCCATTCTAGAAGTCATCACCTCCTTCCTTACCCTTTCCCACCGATCTCCACAGGTGGACCTGTTCATAGTGGACGAATTGCATCTCATCGGCGGCCACAATGGCTCCATCCTAGAGGTCATCACCTCCCGCATGTGCTACATCAGCTCTCAGTCCCTCCTCTCCTCATTCTCCCGTTTTGCGTGCTGCCTTCCTCTCCTCCTCTATCCTCTGCTTCCACCCCACCACAGGTGGACCTCTTTATAGTGGACGAGCTTCACCTGATCGGAGGCCACAACGGCTCCATCCTCGAAGTCATCACCTCCTTCCTTACCCCTTCCCACCGATCTCCATCCACAGGTGGACCTCTTTATAGTGGACGAACTTCACTTGATTGGCGGTCACAACGGCTCCATTCTCGAGGTCATCACCTCCCGCATGCGCTACATAAGCTCCCAATCCGCAGCATCCGCAGCGGCAGGGGGCGGGCTGGGGGCGTCCGGAGGGGCAAACAGCCAGCAGGCGGCAGGGGGGCACAGGATCCGCATTGTGGCGCTGGCGGCGGCGCTGGCGAATGCGAGGGATCTGGGCGAGTGGGTGGGGGCGAGCTCCCACGGGCTCTTCAACTTCTCCCCCGCTGTGCGCCCCGTGCCTTTAGAGATTCACATCCAGGGGTTCGATGTGTCCAACTTCGATGCGCGCATGCAGGTGAGTGTGGGTGGGTGGAGATGGGTGGGGATGGGTGGGCGGCTGTGGGAGGTTGCAGGTGGGTGGGAGGGTGTGAAAGTGCTAGGGTGCGTGGAAGGGGGATGCTTGCCGGAAGGGATTCACAGTCAGGGCGTTGATGTCTCCATCTTTGATGCGCGCATGCAGGTGAGTGTGTGGGTGGGAGGATGGGTGTGAATGGGTGGGAGTATCAGGGTGCGTGCAAGGGGGTGTGTGCGCCCGGTGCCCCTGGAGATTCACATTCGGGGCGTTGATGTCTCCATCTTTGATGCGCGCATGCAGGTGGGTGAGTGGGTGGGAGTGTGGTTAAGTGTGAGTGCGTACGAGAATCTCAGTGTGTTAGTTGGAGTGGCAGGAAGTGTGTTAGGCCATGACTAAGCCGGCCTACACAGCCATGATGAACCACACCGCTCGCTCCAGCAAGGAGTCATTGCTGTGCTGCCCCACTCTCCCATATCCTTCTCAACCTGCTTGCATCCCTTTCCGCTGCTCATTCGCCCCTTCCCTCTCCTCCCCTCTACCAGGCCATGACCAAGCCGGCCTACACGGCAATAATGAGCCACAGTGCTCGCTCCAGCTAGGAGTCCCATTGTGCTGCCCACTCTCACTCCACCTTCCCAACCTGCTAACATCCCTTTCTCCCCTCCCTCTGCACCCCCACCAGGCCATGACCAAGCCGGCCTACACGGCAATAATGAGCCACACCGCTCGCTCCAGCAAGCTTGGTGCTGATCAGTGAACCCCCCCTTCTGCCCCACTCACCCGCCTCACCTCCTCATGTCATCCTACTCTCCCTATCCTCCCCAACCTCCCACCTTCCCCCCAGGCCATGACCAAGCCGGCCTACACGGCCATAATGAACCACACCGCTCGCTCCAGCAAGGAGTTGGGGCCGATGGATGATCCTCGTTTTCTGCCTCACACCCCTGTCTGTCTGTGCTCCTCTACCTCCTTCCCCAGGCCATGACCAAGCCGGCCTACACGGCCATAATGAACCACACCGCTCGCTCCAGCAAGCCCGCGCTCGTCTTCGTCCCCACCCGCAAGCACGCGCGCCTCACCGCCCTCGACCTCTGCGCTTTCGCTGCCGGGGACGCCGGCGCCACTCTCGCTGCCGCTGCCAACGCCGACGCGTCTTCCGGAGCTGCTGATGGGACCTCGGCAGCGGCTCTGGCGGCTGCTTCTCCGTTTCTGCACTGTGGGGAGGGGGACTTGGCGCCGTTTCTGGCGCGGGTGAAGGACGAGGGGCTGCGGCACGGGCTGACGTTTGGAGTGGCGTATCTGCACGAGGGGTTGAGTGCGGTGGAGCAGGAGGTGGTGCGCCAGCTGTTCACTGCAGGGGCTATCCAGGTGGGTCCGCTTCTCTCTTTCAGCCTCTTTTCCTCTCTTATTCAGGTGGGTCTCATGGGAATCCTCTGCTGTAGGTTTAGTGGCTGCAGCGTCACCGTTTCTGCGCTGTGGGGAGGGGGACTTGGCGCCGTTTCTGGCGCGGGTCATCATGGGCTCGCAATACTGCCCCGCCTTGACTCACGCCCTGTGCCTCCGCTCCTTTCCTCCCTGCCCTCCCTGCCCGCCCTGCCGCATGCCCCCTGCCCTGTGCCCCTGTCCCGTTCTCCCTACTCTCCCTCCCTCTCCTTCCAGGTCTGTGTGGCAGTGAGCTCCCTCTGCTGGTCCATATTCCCCGCCAACCTGGTTGTCATCATGGGCACGCAGTACTATGACGCCAGGGGAGGGGGAGGCGGGTCTGGGGGAGGCGCATCTGCCGTCGCGGGTGGCAGCGGGGGCGGCAGGGTGGATTACCCAGTCACTGACCTCCTGCAGATGATGGGTCGAGCCTCCAGGCCTGGTGAGTGGGTGCGAAGTGGTGTGGTGCAGTGCGGTGCGGTGCAGTGTATGCATTCTCCCTGCTTCTCCCCCTTTTCCACCCTTCTCCACCCATCTCCCCCCTTCACCACCCTTCTCCACCCTTTTCCACCCTGTTCTCCTTCCCTGTCGCCCCCTTCACCACCCTTCTCCACCCTTTTCCACCCTCTTCTCCCTCCCTGTCGCCCTTTTTCCATACCACCACTCCATATCTGCCCTCTATTGCAGGCCTTGACGACGCTGGTCGCTGTGTCATCTTCTGCCACTCGGCCCGCAAGGAGTATTACAAGAAGTTCCTGCTCGAACCGCTCCCCGTCGAATCCCACCTCGACCAACACCTTCATGATCCCCTGAATGCCGAAGTGGTCGTGCGTACGGTGGAGAACAAGCAGGACGCAGTGGACTACCTCACCTGGTCCTTCCTCTACCGCCGCCTCACCCAAAACCCCAACTACTACAACCTCACCGGGGTTTCCCATCGCCACCTCAGCGATCACCTCTCGGAGCTCGTGGAAACCACCCTTTCTGACTTGGAAGCTTCCAAGTGTGTCGCGATAGAGGATGACATGGACCTCTCTCCTCTCAACCTCGGCATGATCGCTGCGTATTACTATATTTCCTACACCACCATCGAGGCGTTTTCGGGGTCGCTGGCGCCCAAGACGCGCCTCAAGGGGCTGATCGAGGTGGTGGCGAGTGCGAGCGAGTATGGCGAGCTGCCCATGCGGCCGGGGGAGGAGGAGCAGGTGCGCAAGATGCTGCACCACCAGCGCTTCGGGGTGGAGAAGCCCAATCTGTCGGACCCTCGCCTGAAGGCCAACGTGCTGCTGCAGGTGGGTGAATGGGGCGCGTGGGTGGTGGGTGGTGGGTGGTGCGTGGGCGGTGGGTGGTGGATGGTGGTGTGAAAAAAGGAAGTGAACATTAACTTCATTATTGAAGGAAGTGGGCATACATAGTTTGCAAGAGAAAGTTGGAAGGGAAAAGGGGGAAGGCAACATTTGGTGAATTGGGCCAAACTATGGCCCATTGGGTTGGGTTGGCAACACTTGGTGAAGTGTTGCTAACCTTTGGCCCAATGGGTTGGGTTGGCAACATTCCCCAAATGTTGCCACCCTAAGGACCATGGGTTGCGTTTGGGGGCTCCATCACAATTGGGTTGGATTGGCACCCCAACATGCAACGCTACGCCCAAAGTTGGGTGTAGTCCCAACCCAACTGTACACCACACTTGGTGTACAGTCACAAAAGACTTAGCATGCTAGAATATAATTCTAACAGGTGGGTGGTGGGTGGGTGGATGCTGGGTATTTTTTCTCTCTCCGTCTCTTTTCTCCTGCCCGTCCACCATCTTCTCTTCCCCCCTCAAACCACCCTCCCCACCGCCCCCTCTCTCCCCCCACCAGGCACACTTTGCCCGCCACGTGGTCACGGGCCCTCTGGCGCAGGACCAGCGCGCGGTGCTGATGGAAGCTTCCAGGCTGCTGCAGGCCATGGTGGACGTGCTCTCCAGCTCCGGCTGGCTCTCCCCCGCCCTCGCTGCCATGGAGCTCAGCCAGATGGTCACGCAGGTGAGGGGATGGGGATGCAGGTGGGATGCAAGTGGGTGTCATTGTTTTTACCCCTTCTCGCCTTGCGCTCCCCCTCTCCGGCTCCGGATGGCTCTCGCCCGCCCTCATTGCCATGCTATGTTGAGATAGACGCTCAGGTAGGGTAGCGCAGCGTCCAGACGGAGGCCGAGACGCAGGACGCTTGGCTCATTGTTTTTCGGGCTGACGCGAAATTGACATTCGCGATTTCGACGCATGTCAATGTCGCGAAATTTGAACCCCCCCCAACCTACATCGACCACTGAAAGCATCCCCCCCAACTAAAAATCCAACCCCCCCCAACCAAATTTGCAACCCCAATGCACTAAACCGCACTGGATTTAGAACATCCAATTAATGTGGCCCACCACCACCACATGCATTTGTGCTCCTTTACTCTAGGTTCTCTCAAATTTCTTTCAAAAACCCTAGAGGTTTAACCTAAGTTTATCTTCGAAGTTAAAGATTCCGCCATGGCTCTTTCTTCTTCTAGCTCCTCCCATTCCGATCATGATGTAGCCGTCGCCGAGGGTAGTACCGCACGCACATCTACGGAGGAAGGGACGGAGTTCTCGGGAAGCCCTAATCACTTTGTTTACACGCATTACTTTTTCTTCAACGATCCGAAGAAGAAGGTGAATCAAACGAAGTGTCGCTGCTGCGAGAAGACGTTGAGCGCTATGTCACACCGGTCACCTCGCTGAATGGAACGACCCGAACATTCGCCGGGAGATAGAGCTTTGCCCGAAGGTACCGAAGATCGTTTTCCACTCCATTCGCGACATGAAGGAGGGGAAGCTTGCTGCGCGCAAGGAGAAAGAAGGGGCGACGCATGCAACGATCAGTGCAGTAAGCGGCAAGAGCGCGGGGCCGAAATCGAATCGCGGGAGGATGGAGGACCTTTATGGAGAGGAGGGACTCTCGGCGAAGCGTCCGGCCGCACGCGCATCCCCTGCCATGGAGCTCACATATGGTCTTCGCGGGGATGCGCATGGCGGAGAATTAAAGGGACTACATCGGAGGAGTCGGGCTGCAGGAGTGTCGCAAGCGGATTGAGAAGGGGTTTGCGTCTGTTACCAAGACGTAGAAGGAGACGGGCGTGACGATCGCCAACGACATGATGACAGACACGAGCGGGCGCGCGTGGATGAATATTCTGTGCATCAACGACAATGGTGATGTGTTCTCCGAGGCGGTTGACTGTCGCATGGACATCAAGAGTGGTGCTTACGTTGTCAGCATCATGCGGTCGATGATCAAGAAGATCGAGTCGGCAAACGTCGTCGCGTTTTGCATGGACGGCGGCAGCAACTACGGTCGCGTATCGAGTTTGTCCCCTGCACCATCCACGTGGTGGATTTTCTGATGGAGGACATCGGCAAGATGAAGTGAGCGCAGGTTGTGGTCGACCGAGCGAACGATCTTATCACATTCCTCCGCATCCACCAGTAATCGCACGCCTTCCTGCGCAGTCCCGAGCTGCAGGGCAAGAAGGCGCTGCATGCGCTGCGACCGACATGCACGTGTTTTGGGTCGCAGAACATCGCAGAACTCGTCTTTGCGAGCTTCGCCCGCAGTTGATGTAGATGGTGGTGCACGACGTCTTCAAGGATTGGGCGGGTGGGGCGTGGTGGAAGGGGTTGGAGTTTTTTGTGAAGGTCATGGAGCTGCCGATCATGGCGATGAGGAGGACGGATTCAGCAGCGAAGGGGATGATGGGAGTGATGTATGACCTCATTCTGAGCTGACGGAGGACATGACGAACCTGCTGGAGGGTGATGGGTGTCGACTGAAGGAGGAGGAGAAGGGGGAGGTGCAGGGAATCTTGCAGAGTCGGTGAGACAACAGCTTGGCTTGTGCCCTCCACGTGGCTGGTCGGATTCTTAATCCGACCAGCCAGGTGGAAGGGATTTTCCTTAGGGATCCCAAGTGCACCAGGGTGATGAAGGCGTGGCTGACTCGCTCGAAGAAGTACTGGAAGAAGTTGAAGAAGGGTTCGTCCAAGAGTTTGCAGGAGAGGATGCTAACGTACATCAACCGTGAGGGGAGTTTCGGGACGGAGGAGGCGACGACAGGCCGAGAGGACCTGTAGGAGGGGAAGGGGGACATGTTGGCGGGGTGGCAGTATCACGGTTGGGAGATTGCCTACCTGGCAGGCCTTGCGCGCCGTGTGTTGTCCCAACCCGTTTCTGTCACCTCGTGCTTGCGGAACTGGGCTGCTTGGGATTGCGTGCACACGGCGTGCAGGAACAGGCTCGGGTCGGAGAAGGTGCGCGACCTTGTGTTCGTTGTGCACAAGGCTTAGTGGAGAGGGAAGGAAGAGGGGGGGGTTGTGGAGGGAACATTCCCACCCCCCCCCCCTCCCTCCCCGAGGGGTACAAGTTGAAGGAGGATGGGGAGTTGGAGGTGGATGAGTACGAGATGGAGGGCGAGAAGGAAGGCGAGAATGAGGGCGAGATGGAGTGATTGCTGCAGTATGCTAATTGCTAGAATGATCCATTAAACACTTTACCATTTGTGACATGTGGGAGAAATTATTATGGGAAAACATTGCTCATGTGTGTGCTATGTCCATTTCCCCCACCTCCCCCTGCCCTATATAACCTTTTTAGCCTGCCCGAGCGTTTTTTTCCTTGACCGGCCCTGCGTCCTTTTAGCTTCTCGGAAACTCACAATATTGTGTCCTGCGTCTGGACGCTAGCGTCTAAGACACAGGACGTGTCTTTCCCAACATAGCTGCCATGGAGCTCACCCAGATGGTCATGCACGTGAGTGCATTGCAAGCATGGTGCACGCTGATTTGTGAGCAATGTACCCCCTCTCGCCTTGCTCTGCTCCTCTCCACCTCCGGCTGGCTCTCCCGGGCCCTCGCTGCCATGGAGCTCACCGAGATGGTCATGCAGGTGAGGTGTTGGGGATGCAGGTGAGGTGACAAGACTTGTGTGTTTGTGAAACAGCGTGATGGTCCCAATACCCCCTCTCCAGCCCCAGGGTATATGGAGGATGAATCTGTCTCTGTCGCCGCTGCTTTTTCCCCCTGGTGAAATCACCCTGCTTTTTCTTCTCCATCCCCAAACCAAATCTTTCTTTCCCCCTTTCCCTCTCCAGGGTCTGTGGGAGAAGGATTCCCCGCTGCTACAGCTGCCCCATTTCACCAAGGAGCTAGCTGCCAAGTTCACGAGCAAGAGAATCGAATCTGTATCCGATCTCGTGGATATGGACGACGACGAGCGGGCGGCGGCGCTCGGCATGACTGAGGAGCAGCTGTCTGACGTGGCGCGCGTGTGCAACCGATTCCCATCAATCGATCTCAACTACGAGCTGATCAACGGCCAGGATGTGGCGGCTGGGGAGAACGTGATGATGCAGGTGGGTTTCTGCTAAATCGGTAGCGATACATGCGAGATAATTGGGGGCTTCTGAGTTAGAAAAAAAAAAAAAAAAAAAAAAAAACAACAACAACAACAACAACAACAGGAAATCTAAATACATGCTTGGCCTCTACCCTTGGTGCTCCCCTTGTCCGCCGTTGTAGTTCTTCCTGGTCTCCTCCAGTCGCCTCTATTAGCCTCTTCCCACCTCTATCCCTTCTCTATCCCATCTCTATCCCCACCACCATCCCACCTCCATTTATACCCTCACCTTTATCCACCTATTACCCCTCAACCCCCAGGTGACCCTCGAGAGGGACATCGAGTCCGGGCAGGAGCTAGGTCCGGTGGACGCCCCGCGCTTCCCCAAGCCTAAGGACGAGGGTTGGTGGCTTGTGGTTGGGGATCCGAAGACCAATCAGCTCCTGGCAATCAAGCGAACTGCGCTGCAGAGGAAAGCGAAGGTCAAGCTTGAATTTGCAGCTCCAGGAGGCGAAGGGGAGAAGGGTGGTGGTGAGGGGAAGAGGGATCTGATGCTGTATTTCATGTGTGACTCGTACTTAGGGTGCGATCAGGAGTACGAGTTCAGTCTGAATGTGGAAGGGAAGGTGATGGATGAGGAGGATTAGGGTGGGAAGGGGGGGGGAGGCATGGTGCGTGGTAGGAGAGGGGGAGGAAGGAGCTACTCCTGTGGTTCAGGCGTGAGTGAGCTGCTGCAATCAGTTGTATGAGGTTGGGATTCAAGAGTGGAGGGTGCACCATGGAGGGTGGTATGGTATGGGACATGGAAGTAACCCCTCACTTGCAGAAACAACTCTGGTTTCACAGGATGGTAACAGGACTGGTAAGGTGGTGTGGCACGCCTGAGTCCCTTTGGGTGCGATCAGAATCAGGAGTCATTGGGTTGGGGTGGTAACTGATATTTTTGCTTTGTTAAATTTGCTGCAACTGGCAGCACCAAGTGTTTTTGTGAGGCTTGTTGACTTGAGTTTGCTGACGCTGCGGAGCTGTATTAGTAGTAATTTTCCTCTTATTGTCAAACTATATGTTTGTGTTCTCTCTAGGCTATAGTGGGTTAGCCTACAAGGGGTACAACACTTTAGGGTTAGCCAACTCATTCATAGTTCATTCATTCCTGCACAGTTGTTTTGACATGGTATTCAGAGCAGGAAGTCTGTTACCGTATAGTTCCGGCCAAAAGACCCGCCGGTAAGAAGGTCCCTCCTGTCAAATGTAATTCTATGCTTGTAGGCTACAGTGAGTAGCACAATAGGGAGTACAGTTGTTAGGGTTGCATATTTGTACTTCCACACTTTCTAGTTTCACCATTCCGTTGCATTCAGTTTCTGAGATGGTATCACGAGTGGGTTCGTTCCTAGCTAGCCTCCGCGCCCTCCGCGCCCTTCGCGCCATCCGCGCCCTTTTGCGCTCTACTGCCCTCCGCGCCCTCGCGCCCTCCGTGTTTGTTGCGCCCTTGCGCCCCTAGCCCGCGCCCCTTAGCGCGCCCCTTAGCGCGGCCCTCAGCCCGCCCCTCGTCGCGCCCCTTAGCGCGCCCCTTAGCGCGGCCCTCAGCCCGCCCCTCGTCGCGCCCCTTAGCGCGGCCCTTAGCGCGGCCCTCAGCCCGCCCCTCGTCGCGCCCCTTAGCGCGGCCCTCTGCCCGCCCCTTAGCGCGGCCCCTAACCCGCCCCTTAGCGCGGCCCTCAGCCCGCCCCTTAGCGCGGCCCTCAGCCCTCGCCCGTCGCGCCCCTTAGCGCGCCCCTTAGCGCGGCCCCTTAGCGCCCCTTCCAGCCGCCCCACCGCGCATCCGCGCCACCGCACCTCCGTGCCTCCGCCTCCCTCGCTCAGTGCGAGCCCGCGCCTCGGTTGCGTCCTAGCCCGCCCGATCCACACCTACCCTCGGCACGTGGCCGGTTTCTCCCCTCCTCCGCCCTGTTTCCCGGGCCCTTCCCGTTCTCCCTGTCACTGGACTTCGCCTCAGCGGCTGGCAGCCGCTCATACCTCCGGTAGTTAGCCTTAGCGTCGTGTCGACACTGGCTCCTAGCCGCTCCGTCCCTAGCGTTCCTAGCCATTCTCCGCCTCGTCTCGTTTGCTCCCTCAGCCGTCGGTTCTCTTGTAGTTTTCCAGCTGGCGTCTCTCGCCCTCCATAGCCGTCCTCCACGTTCTTAGATCCGCCTCCGCCGTGCTCCAGTCGCCTCTAGCATGGCATCAGTTATGGAGTCCCGTCGCCTCCGTTTCGATGCGGAGGGGCGCCCGATAGAGTTCGGGACCTGGCAGCGCCAGACCACGCGCTTCCTCACCAGCCAGCGCCAGGACGGCGCCACTCTGTGGGCCCATGCGTCTGGTGCTCTCCAGGCCCCCCCATCCCCCGCCGCCCTGCCGACCGCCTCGGAGCCGACTCCTACGGCCCAGGCGGAGTACGACCGTCGGGTCCTGGCCAGGGACGTGTGGCTCTCTCGTGACGCTGCCGCCGCTCTCACACTGTCGGAGCTTCTCCCCTCGACTGAGGCCGCCCACTTTGACCAGGGGAGACAGCACAGGGGGTTTGGGATGCTATTGTTGCCCGCTACTCCACCCCCTCCTCTGCCTCCCTCAGTCGCATCCTCATGCCGTTTCTGTTTCCCGACCTAGGTTCGTTTGCGACTGTCTCCGACCTAGTGACTCACCTCCGCTCGCTTGCCGCCGGTTTCCGTGCGGCCTGTACCGACGCACAGCTTCTTGTTGCTCCCCCCCCCCATGTGGCTCACTGTGCACTGGTTAGTCACCCGCCTCCCTGACCGCCTTGCCACTGCCCGCGACGCGCTTCTCCAGAAGCACCCCACTGAGCTCACCATCGATCTCCTCGAGACCGCTCTCGGGAAGATCGAGAGCAGCCTCCTCACCGTTGCCTCCGCCACTGACGCGGTGGCTCCCCGTCTCTTTGCGGGGTGTGCCGCCCCTCAGCTTCCCACTTTCACTGCTACCCGTGCTTCTGCTGCTGTGTCGGTTTCTGAGGACACTGCTGCCGTTTCTGCCGCAGACTGGCAGAAACGGGGCAAGAGTGGCAAGAGGGGCGGTAGGGGGGGAGGTGGGGGCGGTGGAGGCGGCGGTGGAGGTGGCGGTGGCGGTGGGAGCGACGGAGGCGGCGGCGGCGGCGGCGGCGGTGGTGCACCAGGGGGAGGGGGCCTTGGCGGAGGTGCAGGACAGACAGGTCCACCCACAGGTGGTGGCCCGACCAGTGGGGGTGTTGCCCCCCAGCAGCAACAGCCACAGCAGCACCTGCCACAGCAGGGACAGCAGCACCAGCAGGCGCCGCAGCAGTTCCAGCAGTGGGGGCCCCCGCTGCAGTGGGGTCCGCAGCAGCACTGGGGTCCCCCGCCGCAGTGGGGTCCGGGAGGCCCTGGGAGCACCGGCCGCAGCAGCAGCTCTTCCAGCTGGGCCCCTCGCCCCCCTCGCCGTGACGCTGGCCCCTGCACCCACTGGTGCCTCACCGGGCCGGGCAGCCCCTGTCTCTGTGGTCGCGACGACCACTCTGCCGCGCGGTGCTTCCGCCGCCTCGACGACCTCTACCGGGCTCGTTGGGGCCCTCTGGCGGTCACGCCTCGCTGGTCTCGTCTGTTAGCCCGTAAGATTGATGTCTTTGATCTGTCCATGGACGATGCGCGTCAGCATGCTTTGTATGTTGATGCTGACTTTAGTGCTGATGGATCTGTGTGCTCGCGTGTTCGTAGCTTAGCCTGCTTGCCTCCTGCTAGTGTAGCCTTGTGCCTGTCTAGCTTAGGTGCTTGTGTTGCTGCTCTAGGTGCTTGTGTAGCGACTGGGTCAGGTGACCCTCCGGCTGAGGCCTCTCTATCGTTCACGCTGGACTCGGGCGCGTCTCAGTGCTTCTTCCGCGACCACACGACCCTTACACCACTCCTCACTCCTGTGTCAGTGGCTCTGGTTGATCCTACCTCTAGACCAGCCGTTGTGCGTAGCTCCACCACCCTCCCGTGCCCTGTGGTCCCCTCTGGTGTCCTGCGCGGCCTCCACATCCCCTCGTTCACTCGGAACTTGGTGGGTGTTGGATACCTCCAGGACAGGGCGATCACGGTTACCTTCGTGGGGGGTGGGCGGACTGCAGTCTGTACAGACGCTACCACAGGTGCTGTTCTGGCCACGTTCACCAGGGAGCCCCGCTCCGGTCTCTACGTCCTCCACACCGAGCGCTCCTCGGTCGCGTCCTCCCCTCAGGTTGTTGCGTCCCCTCCGGCCCAAGTCCCCAGTCCAGTTGCTGTGTCTAGCCAGGTAGTCGTGTCCGGTCCGGTCGCTGTGTCCAGTCAAGTCGCTGCGTCTTGCTCCTGTCGCTCTCTCGCCCACCGCACCGTCCTGTGGCACCACCGCCTTGGCCACCCGTCGATCCCTCGCCTTCGTGGCACCAGGGGAACCAGTCCAAAGACTGGTCGGTGAAGCCTCGGGCCGCGAGACACGCGGCTGGAGGTTCAGCTGGTGTGCGGCGTAGCGAACCGCGTGGGGACACAGAAAATGGGGCGCACGGGCATGGATCATGGACGTGCGGGCGATGTCCATGACCAAGCCAATGCGGCGCTCAGCAACCCCATTCTGCTGTGGGGACTCCGGCAGCGTCCAGGACTGTACAATGCCCTGCTCGCCGCAGAATCCGCCGAGAATGCCGGAGCGAAACTCGCCCCCACGGTCGGAGTGGAGACAACTGACTCGACGACCACGAGTGCCCTCAGTGGCTAGAAGCCACCTGATCAGCGTAGCAGTCACTTCGGACTTCTTCGCAAGAGGGAACACTGTGGTGTACCTGGAGTAGTCGTCGACGACCACCAGAAAGTAACACTCCCTCCCAGACCCCTGCGTCGGGGCAGGGCCCCAGACGTCCAAGTGGAGAGTCTCGAAGGGAGCGGTGGCCGGACGAAGGGAGGAGGAGTGGGGAGTGGCGCGTAAGCGACCGGCGACGCACGGAGAGCAAGGAGGGGCAAGCGAGGGAGGGAGCGACGGTGCTGGTTCTGGGGGTGCTGGTGCTGGAGGCACTGGCACCCGAGGTGTTGGTTCTGAGGAGACTGGAGCTGGAGACACTGGTTCTGCGGAGTCCACTCCGCCTCCCCACTCCCACGACACGCGTCTACAGGCTGCCCGTCGGCGTGAGCGTGAGGAGCAGGAGCGGTTGGAGAGGGAGCGGCAGGAGCTGCGGGTGCTGGACCTTCTGGAGCAGCAGTGGCAGCAGCAGCAGCAGCCGCAGCCGCCGCCGCGGCCACAGCAGCAGCAGCCGCAGCCGCCGCCGCAGCCGCAGCAGCAGCAGCCGCAGCCGCCACCGCAGCTTCCTCTGGAGCGGCAGTTGTTCCCACCTGTGAGTGGCCTGCGGGCCCTTGGCCTTTCCTCCTCTCTTCCTGTCCGCTCCCAGTCTCCTCCTCTGTTTGTTCCTCCGTTGCCTCCTCCTGACGACCGTCCGGCGGTCTGGTCTTCTCCTCCTCCTCAGTCTCCTCCTCCTCAGTCTCCTCCTCCTTCTGTCCGTCACGACTTGATCACTCGTTGTCCTCCGCGTGCTCGTCACTCGTCCCCTGTTACTGACCTCCACACTGCCCTCCTTTGTTCGTCTCGTCGTCGTTCTCCTTCTCCTGTGTCCGTTCTCCCGTCTCCTCCTCCGTCCTCTCTCCCAGCCCTCCCCACTCCTATCTCTGACTACTACCGCGCTGTTCGTCCTGTTGCCCCACGTGTCCTCGCCACTCTTGTCACCGACTCTCGTTTCCCTCCGTCGTCTGCCTCGGCTCTTACTGCCGCTGTCGCTGAGTTTGCTGCCGCCAGCCGCCTTGACTACGCCACCCGTGTGGTGCCAGCTCCTCCCTACCGTCCTCTGTCTGTCGGGGGTGGGTTTGCCCTTGGCTGTGACGTCCTAGAGGACAGAGAGTCTGAGCTGGAGTACTGGGCAGCCGCTTCTCCCTCTGTGTGTGCCATGCTGCTCTCCCCTGAGGGAGACCCCGACGCCCTTGACATACCGACTCCTCGCAGTTACCGCGAGGCAGTGTCAGGGGCGTGGGCCTCTCAGTGGAAAGCGGCTATGGACTCAGAGTTGGCGTCTTGGAGATCCACAGGCACCTACGTCGACGCAGTTCCCCCTCCCAGGGCGAACGTAGTCGATGGCATGTGGCTCTTCAAGGTGAAGCGGCCGCCTGGAGCACCGCCGGTGTTCAAGGCGCGCTACGTGGCTAGGGGCTTCAGTCAGCGTGAGGGAGTTGACTTCTTCCAGACCTTCGCCCCGACCCCAAAGATGACTACTCTTTGGGTGTTACTCCACATAGCAGCGCAGCGAGACTACGAGCTGCACTCCCTCGACTTCTCCACTGCGTTCCTCCAGGGCCGACTGCACGAGGAGATCTGGCTGCGCCGTCCTCCTGGCTTCACTGACACCTTCCCACCTGGGCCCTTCCTCTTGCGACGGCGGCTCGTAGGCGCGTGTCGACGTCACAATGACTCGCCACCAGTCCATGGCGGGGCCCCGTAGCAGCGAAACGGCGTATCGTATCTTCGCTGCATCCGACTCGACGTAATTCGCGTCGAAGAAGATGTTCATCGTGAAGACCCACGATTGAACCGTTGGACCTCCGCGTTGGCTGGGATCGAAGCAGGGCGGGCGTTGCGGCTTGAGCGGCATCGGTGCGACGATGTTGTCGTTACCGCTTGTTGCTGCAAATTCGACGTGACGACAGGCTTCGCGAGGCCCGCTCATGCTTGGTGCGGCCCTGTTTCTCTCCATGCCGAGCATTGATTGGGCGACGCCATCACTGGCTGCGCCTGAGCGCTGTCCCACGCTGTTGTGATGTGACGGTGTGCCGGATGAGATGACAATCCGCTCATCCGATTGCGCAGGTGCATTTGCAAGTGCTTGTGTTGGTGCTGGTGCATTCACCGTTGATTGCTGGCGGGCGGAGTCACGTTCCGCCGTGAGAGTTGCGATTTCGAGCGCCGAATCTTCGAGTTGGCGCACGAGACGGTCGAGCTGTTCCTGCGTCAACGTCGCAAGGTTGAGTTCGGCCATGGCGGGGGTGTCGGGCAAGCTCAGCGAGAGCCTCAGTCGTGGCCGTGCGTGCTTTCGAGAGAACACTTCGAGCGGCGGTGCCTGAACGCTGAGGGACGTCTATCCCCCCCCCCAAAAAAATGAGATAGTGGGGAAGCGAAGGTGTGGGTGGGGTCCGAGAAGAGATCGTAGACTCGGAATACCAAGTGTTAGGAGTGCAATTCAGCGAGCGAGCGAGAATTGCACTATCGAAGCAAAACAATACATTGAGCGAAGGCATGAGCGAAGAATATATAGCAAAGTTAGCGTGGTAACGGTAACGCGAGAAATTGGGGTGCGCTACGGGCCTAGCGCCGAGGTTGGGAAATGTCGAGGCGGAGGTCCGGAGCGCGGGTTACCAACCGAACCGTGAGGTTGGGTCGCATCGTGAACAGTGGCGGGAGTCGTGGTCGAGGCGAGTGTCGCGAGCGGGTAACGTTTCACTGTTGGGTGCTGGTGGCGGGAATGGTCATGTACGCGGTAAGCAGGGGCGCGAAGTAAGGAAAATGAATTTTCCTTACACCTCTTTACCCATGAATTTGTAAAAACCCCGCGGTCCAAATTTTGATGCATGCTGGTCAAGTTTTTTGAACTTGATGTTGAGGTGTGTGCATTTAAAAAAAAAAAACCCACAATTTAGGACCATCTAGACACCAAGTGCAATTTAACTCTGTACTAGGGCTTTACTGTTTCAGTTGAAAGTCCATCGAGCAAGATCATGAGTCTTGTGGGACTGGGCAATTTGCCGCAATACCCTCATTTGTTCGTATGGATGCGGCTGATGGTTTCGAGAATCCTGACCCCAGCAGCAGCCAGCTAGTCCCGCAGTATTCGACTGGTCCCCGTCAAAACAGCTCTGACATGCCTGTCAAGGCCCAAAAAACTCGAACCACTATACAGTTCAAGAACTTGACCACCAAGGAGGTGAGAGGAACAATTCAAGGGATTGAAATCGAAACCTGTTTACGCAAGTACAGGTCAGTACTGTAGACCCATCGAAACCTGTCAGTAGCTGTCATCGTCAATCGGACCCAGCCGAAACTGGCTCGACGTCAACGGCCAGCTGGTGTCACATTTCGCACGACGGGGTGGTTGCGATGGGGTTGTTGTTGAAGGTGAAGGAAACCCCTCGCTTTTCTGAAAGTGACTTCGATTGCTCTGCCAGCGCTAAACGCCAAAATGGTAACCCGTTCTCAGGTGAAGTGAATCAGTTCGCCACGGATAAGGCCTCAGGAGATTAGTCGGTCCGTCAAAAGCAACCGGACAGTCCGTCATATGCCCAGGGGCAAAACCGATCAACGCTAAATTGAGAAGCTGATTTTTTCCTGCGGTCAATTGACGGCCAGACGTCTACCATCGCCGCTCCGTCCGTCTAGTCCCGATGCTGGCCGGTTAGATCGTTTATGGCTAATTTGGGATTGAGTAGCTGAGCCAGCTAAGCTACACCCTGGAATTTGTGGTACTAGTGAACTGCATGGGCGGGTTTCAATGAACAAATTTCAAAATTTCACGCACTCTTAAACCTTTTCTTAGCCTCTTGTCTGGTGTTTTCTTAGTCTTGAGCCAACGTACAGGATGAACAAACAAACGAATGGAAACTAAGCACCTGTAAGACATTATTGTAACCAGCATCTCTTAGACACTGTAATACATCTGGATGACAGGGGGACGAGGGCTTTAAAATACAAAATAGCAGAACAAATTTCAAATGGGGCGTGTGGGATACTACGAGCCTTTGGTTCTGAGGCAGGCCCATTGCCGCAAACAACCAAATCAAATCCGATGGTAACGCGACTGCGGTAGTTACAAATGGTAACCAGGTTACTTCTTCAACGGCGTCCCAGCAGCACCGTAGTCGCAGACGCCGGCGATGCAGGTTCCGCGGCAGAACCTGCCGCACTTGCCGCAGTTCTTCTTGTCGGTGAGAAGCGAGGTGCAAGTGGCGGAGCAGCACATGAAATCGGTGGCGCAGTATCGGTTGCAGCTGCCGCAATGGTTTGGATCCGACTTCAAGAACGTGCAGAGACTGCAAAGCACACAGAAGAGGAAAGGAGTTAGTTATAAAGCAGAGGATGAATCGACAAAAGAAAAAAGAAACCAGGTGTAAGAAGAGAATGCTGAATTATGTTAGCACTTACGAGCCACAGAGGGTTTGGTTCTGCAGGCAGCCATTGGGCTGAAGCACAACGTCCCCAGTAGTGCCAGTGCTTCCGGTGTTGCCGCCAGCGTTCGTGCTGCCGCCAGCGTTGGTGCTGCCACCGCCGTTAGTGCTGCCGCCAGCGTTGGAGCTGCCGCCGCTGTTAGTGTTGCCGCCAGCGTTGGAGCTGCCGCCGCTGTTAGTGTTGCCGCCAGCGTTGGAGCTGCCCCCGCTGTTCGTGTTGCCGCCAGCGTTGGAGCTGCCGCCGCTGTTCGTGTTACCGCCAGCGTTGGAGCTGCCGCCGCTGTTCGTGTTGCCGCCCGAAGTGGAGCTGCCGCCGCTGTTGGTGTTGCCGCCCGAGACGGAACCGCCGCTGTTGGTGTTGCCGCCCGAGGCGGAGCTGCCGCCGCTGTTGGTGTTGCCGCCCGAGGCGGAGCTGCCGCCGCTGTTGGTGTTGCCGCCCGAGGCGGAGCTGCCGCCGCTGTTGGTGTTGCCGCCCGAGGCGGAGCTGCCGCCGCTGTTGGTGTTGCCGCCCGAGGCGGAGCTGCCGCCGCTGTTGGTGTTGCCGCCCGAGGCGGAGCTGCCGCCGCTGTTGGTGTTGCCGCCCGAGGCGGAGCTGCCGCCGCTGTTGGTGTTGCCGCCCGAGGCGGAGCTGCCGCCGCTGTTGGTGTTGCCGCCCGAGGCGGAGCTGCCGCCGCTGTTGGTGTTGCCGCCCGAGGCGGAGCTGCCGCCGCTGTTGGTGTTGCCGCCCGAGGCGGAGCTGCCGCCGCTGTTGGTGTTGCCGCCAGAAGTGGAGCTGCCGCCGCCGCTGGCAGTGTTGCCACCAGAAGTAGAGCTGCCGCCGGAAGCGGTGGTGCCGCCGCCGGCCGTGGCGGTGACACCGGTGGTCTTAGTGTTGCCGGTGGAAGTGGTGCCCGTAGTGGTGGTGCCGGTGGTCTTCGTATTGCCGGCGGAAGTAGTGCTGCTGCCACCAGCAGCAAGAATCCTCATCCGCCGTAGGCGTGCATTACCGCGTGACGATCGGACAGCGAATCGCTGGATGGGAGGGAGAAGGCGGGAGGGAACAGGCAGAAAGACGGAAAGCCGATAAATTTAGGCAAACGATATGGATGGGAGCGAGAAAAGGCGAAAGAAACCTCACAATTCAAAGTGATTCGGGATCTGGACAGTGAACAACTAATGGACCAAAAATTGCCGACAGGGAAAGGCGCCTGTAGCGGGCATTACTGGCTAAACGCTACAACGCTACCATCTTGACGAGTGTGAGCAGCTGACTGACCTCGAAATCGGCGTTGAGGCCAATATCATCTACTGAAGCGGCGCCATACTCGGGCAAAAGCGCAATAACCAGCAGCGCTACGGTAATGACTTGGAGAAGCTGAGAGATCTTCATAGTCTCTCTCCTGCCCTAATCTGCTCGAGCTGTTTAACCTGTCAGGAGTTTACAACCTATTACTCGGGGAGGTAATGTGCTTTGAGATACAGGCGACCTCCCTCTAGACTACTGCAGAAGATCTACAAGCAGTTGGTGATAGATGGGGGAAGGAGTGGGCTGATGCAATTGCAAAACTTGCAAGATCAAAGTCATCTAGAGGTGACTTCTCGTACGCCTGTCTCACTGATGGGGCTTGGCTGGTTAGTGCTGTTGCTGTCGTATCTGCAACGTAGATTTTGACTACGTGCCTGGCATGGGGAGCCTCGCTCGTTCAGTTCTTCAGGTTCTGATGAAACCACCTGCGCGAGTCAGGAACAGCCCAACGACAGGACGCAAGCATTCGCAACTCTAACTTCCCAGGTGTGTGCTTCGGAGATGTGGCGAGTCGCAGGATTGACCTAATCGTTACGAGCGAAACCTCGATCTTTGCGATGTGGTTACAGGCCGTAACGAAATCAGTCATTCGATTCAATCTGGAAAATCTGTTTACCAATTCCTGTGAGTTACTGTCGCCAGTCTTCGTTGATCCTTACATCCTTTCGTGACAGATGTTCTGGACGTCCGATACATTGGATAAAGGACAAAAGTCCTCCAAACCCAGCGGCGCTGAGTTTTGGGGGAGAGTTTCTTCAGGTGGGTGGGCAGCGAGGTAGTACAGTAGCTACTCAGAAATGAGAAGCGACAATATTTCTGGACAGTGGACTCCACCAACCTCGGCCAATGCGTTCTGCTTGACGAATGAAACGGAATGGAAGGAAAAATGGGACAGCTGTGTCCCTGCGTGCCCTTCAAGGATTACTCGTTGATAGAATGGCAATGCAACTGCGCATAGTACAATGCACATGTGTACTAACATAACATGCAATCAACATACATAACATGCAATACATTTACACATCCCCTATCATAGTTCTCAAACTTACGTCCGTACATACCTGAAGGAATTTAAAGTATGCAAAACATATCCAGTATTTGTTCTGATTGTAACAGGTACGTAAGTAACTATGTTGGTATATCAATCCACTTGTTTTTTCTCAAAGTACGAACAGCAGAAAATGATGAACTAGGAAAAGTGGGAGATACAAATACAATGATAGATATGTTACCTACTGTATATCTCACTATAGCCTAGCATACACATATATAGTCTGACAATTTTGGACAATAAGCTATTGTAAGATATGTACGAATATGAAATCGTTGCAAGTGTTACGATAAGGAATTACACTTGGCATTCCTAAACGTAACAGAGGAAAGACCTTACCAAGTACGAAGACGAAGGGATACGATGAGACGAAGGGTCAAAGACGGTTACAATCAAGACTGTTTCTGACAAAATTATTCGAGTGGTAAAAGGCAGGAACATGTTTGAAACGAGTTCATGCGCCGCACGGTTGTGATGTAGATGTAATACGGTCAGGGAATGTACCCCTTAGACGAGTTAAGACTTCTTGAATTCCTCTTTAATTCCTCTTGAATCTTATATAAACATATGTGTCAGAAGACCAGCAATGGGGATGCCAGATTGATCGGCTCGCTGACATGGGGGGTTATAGGCGCACTGACCCGCTACTTAACAAGCCATTTTATCCCAGTGGCTAGAGGCTGGGATTTTGTCTCGGGTTCGAATCCCCACGTGTGCACATGTTGGCGCCGCCACTGTGTCGTGTCCTAGGACATCCCTGTGAGGGGGGGGTGTCAAAATGTCAAACTGTTATTTGTTGTGTAGGCTGTAGTAGGGTACTCAACAGTGAGTACAACCCTTTTAGGGTTTCCTATATGTATCCCACCTGCCTGCTAGTTCAAACCCTCTTCTCCCATTCCTCCTTTCTTGCCTAATTTCAACATGCTATCAGAGCAGGTCGACCCTCCTTGGTCGATCCTGTGGATGGGCCCTACTGCTTCCGCTGCTATCCTGTTAGTCGCGCGCCCCGGGCGCGCGACATTTTTTCAGCGCGCCCCGTGGTGCGCGGCGGTTTTCTGCCCCCCGCGCGCCCCGTGGTGCGCGGCGGTTTTCTGCTCGGCGCGCCGCCCTGTGCACCCGTCGCGCCGTCCCCGTGCACCCGTCGCGCCGCCCCGTGGGACCCGCGCGTCGCCCCCGTGGACCCGCGCGTCGTCCCCGTGGCGACCAGTGCCAGCAGCTTCAGCGGCCGCCCACCTCGTCTCCTCTCCAGTTTCCTCCTCCTCCTCACTTGCCCTCTGCTTCTGCCACCAGTCTTTGCCTATGAACTGGTTCTATGACTGCTTGTTCTGTTGGCTATACCCCACTTTGCCTATGGGGGTGTGTCAAACTGTTATTTGTTGTGTAGGCTGTAGTGGGGTACTCAACAGTGAGTACAACACTTTTAGGGTTTCCTATATGTATCCCACCTGCCTGCTAGTTCAAACCCTCTTCTCCCATTCCTCCTTTCTTGCCTAGTTTCAACACAAAAGACTAGCACTGGGGATGCCGGTTTGATCCTAGGGAAGGGTTACAGGCTTGCTGGTCTTCAGGGTTATGGGCGCACTGACCCGCTACTTAACAAGCCCTTTTATCACAGTGGTCTAGTGGCTGGAATTTTGACAATATGTATGTCTTTGTTATAGACACTTATGCCAATTTAAATGTACTGACAGGTGTCACACTAATCACACCGCAGTAGATTGCCCTGCAATCAACCCTGAGCAAGATCCTGACTAAGTCCCACTACGAGTTGTAACAACAAGGGTCGTCGTTATCAGACAAAATCCGTCTGGTTGCCTGTTTTTCATACCTATTTTTGTGTGTTTATAAGATTTCATAGGCAAGGCATTTTATTTCATATGAACGCTCAGATAAGGATCAAATATTCATCAGTATTTTAGATATATTTGTCAAACATTATATGTTTACATTGTGTAGGCTATAGTGGGTTTAGCCTTAGGGGGTACAACAAACTTAGGGTTTCCTACTTGTACACAACTTTCTGCTAGTTTCATCATTCTCGTTCGTTCTTAGATTCTAACATGGTATCGCGAGCCTAGGTCGTAACCTAGGACCGAATCGTTAAGGGCCCACCGTTTTCGCATAGTCGCGCCCTAGCGCGCCTCGCCTAGTTGCGCCCTCGAGCGCCCTCCTCTCTCTCTCTCTCTCACTATCGCGCGCCCTAGCACGCCTCTCGCGATCGGCCCCGCCTAGCCCGCACGCCCTAGCGTGCCCCGTGCGATCGGCCCCGCCCACCTCGTACGCCCTAGCGTGCGACCCGAGCAGCACCACGCGCGTCGCCTGCCCCGCGCGCCCTTTTCGAGCCCCGTGCGGCCCCGCGTGCTAGCTGCCCCGCGCGCCCTTGCGTGCCTCTTACGGACCGGCCCCGCCCCTTAGCGCGCGCCCTTGCGTGCCCCGTGCGACCGGCCCACACCCACCCGCGCGCCCTTGCGTGCCCCTCGCGTACCGGCCCCGCCCTAGCTAGCCCGCCACCTCGTGCCCCGTGCGACCGGCCCACACCCACCCGCGCGCCCTTGCGTGCCCCTCGTGTACCGGCCCCGCCCTCGCTAGCTCGCCACCTCGTGCCCCGTGCGGACCGGCCCCGCCCTGCCGTGCACGCCCTCGCGTGCCCCACCTCGAGTAGCCGCTGCCTAGCTGAGCCGAACCGCCCCACCGAACCGCGTCACCCGGCCCGAGCCGCGCCGCCCTACCAAATCGCGCCGCCCTACCGAGCCGCGCCGCCCTACCGAGCCGCGCCGCCCTACCGAGCCGCGCCACTGCTGCTGTCACTGCTACTGACACTACTGCTGTTCCTACTGCTACTACTGCTACTGCTCTTACTGCAACTATGGCTAGCCCTGCTGTGCTCGCTTTCGATGCTGAGGGCCGCCCACTGAAGTTTGACACCTGGCTAGATGACTTGCACCTGTTCCTCCAGCTCACTGCCAAGGAGGACATCTCGCTGTACGATCACGCACTAGGCCACGCTGCTCCCCCTGCTGTTACTGCTGACAGTACTGCCCGCTCACAGTGGCAGACTCGTGACGCCCACGCTCGCTTCGCTATTCGCAACTCCCTGCCGGTAGATGAGCGCGAGCACTTTGGCCAGCACAAAACTGCGCAGGCACTGTACACTGCTGTAGTTGCACGCTACTCCTCACCTGCCTCTGCTGCGCTAGGCCGTCTCTCGCTCCCCTACCTGTTCCCAGACCTGTCCGCTTTCGCCACAGTCGCTGACCTCATCACGCACCTCCGCACTAGTGAGGCTCGCTTCCGTGCCGCTATGCCCGCTGAGTTTCTTGCCACCCACCCCCCCCCACTCTGGCTCACTCTCTACCACCTTGTCACCCGTCTCCCTGACTCTCTTCGTGCGGTCAGGGACCACTTCCTCGCTCGCTGCCCCACTGAGCTCACCGTTGACCTGCTCGAGAAGGAACTGCTTGCAGCTGAGACTAGCATAGTCGCTGTAGCTGCCTCTCGTGGCGACCCCCGCACCCCTTTCTTCGAGGGGTGTTCCCCTTCCCCCCTTCTCCCCTCTGTCGCCTCTGCTGCTGCTGTCGACCTAGTTGGTACTGAGCAGGTCGGGACTGCGTCCGCTCCGAGCTGGCGCCGCAGCGGCAAGGGCAAAGGGGGCAAGGGAGGTGGAGGTGACGGCGGGGGAGGTGGTGGTGGGGGCGGTGGCGGCGGTGGGGGTGGTGGCGGGGCTGGAGGGGCTAGTGGCAGCGGTGGGGGTGGAGGCGGCAGCAGCGGAGGAGGTGGCCGGGGTGGGGGCGGTGGTTGGGGCGGCGGTGGACGCGGAGGCGGCAGGGGCGGTGGTGGTCGAGGTGGTGGCGGCGGCGGTGGTGGTCGTGGAGGCACTGGCGGTGGCCAGAGCCAGCAGCACACTCCGTCGTCCCAGGAGCTTCGTGAGTGGTACTCTCAGCACGGGGGGGGGGGGGGGGGGGGCTTAGCTGCACGTACGTCATCCGCACTGGTGACCGCACTGGCCAGACGTGTGGGAGGGCGCACACCACGC